CTTTTTTTTTTTTAATATTTATTTACTATGTATGCAGTATTCTGTCTGCTTGTACGCCTGCAGGCCAGAAGAGGGCACCAGACCTCATTACAGATGGTTGTGAGCTACCATGTGGTTGCTGGGAATTGAACTCAGGACCTTTGGAAGAGCAGGCAATGCTCTTAACCACTGAGCCATCTCTCCAGCCTGAGTCCAGACTTTTATACCTAAGTCACTTTCTACCATAACTTATATTACCAACCTAGAAATATCTTTTTCGACCTTAAAACATTTTCTTAGATAAACAACTTAAACGTTTATGTCTCTCAATTTTTATAAACTTTACATCCTTTTGTGAGTTTCTTTTCTGGATTTGGTAACAAGGAAAACTGTAAAACTTTAACTATTTAGTCTTCAATCACGTCAGAGACCTGAGAAGGATAAATATCATTTGAGTAAACAAGAAGTGTAGAGCAAGCAACTTTCAAAACTATAGAAATGACAGAGACTGCTGACTGCCTGGACAGTCATCCAAGGTTTCTTTGACAATGTTGGGCACCCATCTTCAGCCAACAGGCCTAAAACATCTGACACTTTTCTGTAAAGCAGGAATTTTGAAGGACTGTCCAACTTTGTCTTGGCAAAGTTCAGTTGACTTCCTTTGTGTTCTAGTTGTCCAGTTTGTAAATTCTGTCAGTAGTTAAGGCAAGGGCATTTTTTTTTTGGCCCCATGGCTAACTTTGCCACATGTGAAGTAAGTAAGCTCCATGTGGAGGTTCTTTGACACCTGTCGTCTTCTTTGAAGTAGATTGATACTGCCTAGAGCAGATGTGTCTCACTTTCATGAAAAATCTTATGTTATTAAAATATCCTAAATGTCATATTCTGTAGATCTCTGAAGTGTTTGAAGACCACATATCTATCTAAAATATATCTCTGTTTAACCTTGAAAACATACCTAACTTGACTACAAGTTTGATTGTTAGAGTAACTACTAACCTCCATTTCTTAATTATCCTAAACATTTTTTTTCCAGGGGACCTGACACCTTCGCACCAATGCACATAAAATAAAGTTAAATAGAAAATTAAAAAAAAAAACAACAAAGTACTGTTGGATTTTTCTACAACTTCCTGTCTTGTAGGATTGTGTGGTATACCTGTAATATGCTTTATGTTGTAATATTGCAAGAAAAAAACTGTTTCATTTTACTAGAGCCATCTACTGGAACATTGTCAGTCTTAATTTGTACAGGCTTCACATAATAGCCATAATTTCTAATAAATGTATAATTACAGAATCAGCCTTTTCAAAACCCAAAGCTGTTGCACATTAAAATCCTGACTATGTGTCTATGGTATGGTACACATACTTTAATTTTCCAAAATCTGCAAAATAAAATATCCACTTGCCAAATTTCATTTCTTTGGGTAACTTCCTACAATTAAGGGAGTGTAGTTATACAAAGAAAAAGTAGAACATTTCCTTATAATTTGCTAGGCTTGTTGCCAAGTGTCAGAAAAATCTTTCTTTGAACCTTTCCTGTTAACATGGTGTTTCTTATGAAAGTCTGAGGCTTCTAGCACATTTCCTATTAATAGCTGATTAATTTCATCATGACCTTGTGCTACAGGGCCTGGTAGACCTATATATGATCTGAAAGTGTTATTTACAAGGGATGATTTCTATTTCTGATGACCTGTTGTAGTTGAATAAGATAGCGAAGTTAATTCTGAATCATCTGGAATAAATTCAGTGGTTTCAATATGCAAAACAACTCTTTCTGCATATAGAGCATCAGTCTAATAATACCATGAAAATAACATATAATTCTGTTTTTTTAACTGAAGCGTATGGTCTTTGAGGCACTTTACTTACTTTTCCCGACTTATCACCTGCCTTTCCTGATTGATTTGCATCAGTTTAGAATGTAGGAGCTCCATAAATTGGTGTCACTTTAAGTATATGAGGGAGAATCTAATTAGTTCTTTTTATAAACTGATCTCTTTGGGATATATGTTGTTAATCAGTTCTAAAATATTACTGCAAGCTTTTTGCCAGTGTTAATTTTCTACCCATAATGAGGAAATTTCAGCATTAATAAAGTAGCCCAATTTCTGCTGGATCTATTCAGGCTAATTGATGAAGTCTCATTTTTTCCTTTCAGAATCAATTCAGAAACCCTTTCTACATAAGTATTTAATTTTTTGTTCTGTTTGTATGCAAAAAATATCCATTCTAAGATATTATTTTTCTCTCTTAATAAGAATTCCTGTGGAAGAATAAGTAGACAGCAAAATAACTAAAATAGAATCGAGTTTTGAATCCAAACGATCCACAAGTGCATCCTTTAATTTCTTTTCTACTGGATCTCTTAGCCTCAGATGATAATTTTCTTGGACTATTTAAGTTCAAATCACCTTGTAAAGTTTAAAATAAATTGGTTAGCTCTTGAGTAGTCAATCCAATTGTGGGTCTTAGCCAATTATTATCTACCAGCAATTTTTGGAAATCATTTAAAAGTTCATAATTTAGCCGGGCGGTGGTGGCGCACGCCTTTAATCCCAGCACTTGGGAGGCAGAGGCAGGCGGATCTCTGTGAGTTCGAGACCAGCCTGGTCTACAAGAGCTAGTTCCAGGACAGGCTCCAAAACCACAGAGAAACCCTGTCTCGAAAAACCAAAAAAAAAAAAAAAAAAAAAAAAAAAAAAAAAAAAGTTCATAATTTATTTCCTCTGATTTGTACTTTCTGTGGTCTGATTTTCTGTAAACCTATTTTATATTCTAGATAATTAATAGATTCTCCTCTTTGTATTTTTTCAAGAGTAATTTGTAATTCCTAACAAAACAAAATTCTCTCTCTCTCTTTTTTTTTTTTTTTTATTTTCGAGATAGGGTTTCTCTGTACTTTTTGGTGGTGCCTGTCCTGGAACTAGCTCTTGTAGACCAGGTTGGCCTCTATCTCACAGAGATGCCTGCCTCTGCCTCCCTGGTACTGAGATTAAAGGTGTGCGCCACCACCGCCCAGCTCTGCTTCCCATGTAGATTAGATCCATGTATGTCTCTTTTAGGGTCCTCATTATTGTCTAGGGTCTCTGGGATTGTGAATTGTAGGCTAGTTTTCTTTGCTTTATGTCTAAAAGCCACTTATGAGTGAGTACATATGATATTTGTCTCTCTGGGTCTGGATTACCTGTCTCAATATGATGTTTTCTAGATCCATTCATTTGCTGGCAAACTTCAAGATGTCATTGTTTTTTCTACTGTGTAGTACTCCATTGTGTAAATGTACCACATTTTCCTTATCCATTCTTCAGTCGAGGGGCATTGGGGTTGTTTTCAGGTTCTGGCTATGACAAACAATGCTGCTATGAACATAGTTGAACACATGTCCTTGTGGCACAATTGAGCATCCTTTGGATATATACCCAAAAGTGGTATTACTGGGTCTTGAGGAAGGTTGTTTCTTAATTTTCTGAGAAATTGCCACATTGATATCCAAAGGGGCTGTACCAGCTTACATTCCCATCAGCAATGCAGAAGTGTTCCCTTTTCCCCACAACCTCTGCAGCATAAGTTGTCATCAGTGTTTTTGATCTTGGCCATTCTTACAGTCTTAAGAAGGAATCTTAGAGTTGTTTTGATTTGCATTTCTCTGATGGGTAAGGATGTTGAACATTTCCTTAAGTGTCTTTCAGCCATTTTAGATTCCTCTGTTGAGATTTCTCTGTTTAGATCTGTACTCCATTTTTTTTTTTTGGATTATGTGATCTTTTGGTGTCCAATTTCTTGAGTTCTTTGTATATTTTGGAGATCAGACCTCTGTCTGATGTGGGGTTAGTGAAGATCTTTTCCCATTCTGTAGGCTGTCTTTTTGTCTTGTTGACCGTGTCCTTTGCTTTACAGAAGCTTTTCCGTTCCAGGAGGTCCCATTTATTAATTGTTTCTCTCAGTGTCTGTGCTGCTGAGGTTATATATAGGAAGTGGTTCCTTGTGCCAATGCGTTCAAGTGTATTTCCCACTTTCTCTTCTATAAGGTTCAGTGTGGCTGGCTTTATGTTGAGGTCTTTGATCCATTTGGACTTGAGTTTTGTGCATGGTGATAGATATGGGTCTATTTTCATTCTTCTACATGTTGATATCCAGTTATGCCAGCACCACTTGTTAAATATGCTTTCTTTTTTCCATTTGATATTTTTTGCTTCTTTATCAAAGATCAGGTGTTTGAAGATGTATGGATTTATATCTGTGTCTTCGATTCAGTTCCGTTGGTCCTCCTGTCTGTTCTTATGCCAATACCAGGCTGTTCTCAGTACTGTAGCTCTGTAGTAGAGTTTGAAGTCAGGGATTGTGATGCCTCCAGAAGTTCTTTAATTGCACAGGATTGTTTTGGCTATCCTGGGTTTTTTAATTTTCCAAATTAAGTTGAGTACTGTCCTTTTGAGGTCTTTGAAGAATTTTGCTGGGATTTTGATGGGCATTGCGTTGAATAAGTAAAAAATTTTAAACTTCTTTTTAAACAAGGCCTCTCTATGTGGCCTTGACTGGGCTAGAAGTCTGAGGGTGGGGGATGTTACTTTGTTTGCTAATACCTTAGAAAAGAATGGAGGCCACAGCAGCCCTGTAAGAAACCAGACAGAGCATGGGCCTGCCTAGAAGTCACACAAGCGCATCTGTCTCTTTCTCCCAAGTTCCCAAGTTCTGGCATTAAAAGTGTAGGCTACTGTTCTGGCTACACTGTTTTTTAGACTGGGTCTCACCTAGCCCAAGCTTGCCTCAAAGTCACTCTATAGCCAAATATAACATTAAATTAATCCTCCAGCCTCCACCTCCCAACTTGTGGGATTATAGGTGTGTGTGTCCGTGCCAGGTTGATACTAAGGATCCAACCAGGATTTTGTGCATACCAGATAAGCGCTCTACCGGCTGAGCTACATTCATTCCTAGCCCCAAACTTTAATATACCGTGATTTTGGAAGTAGGGGGAATGGCGTGATGCTACTGCCTCTTGCCTTCTGCAGGAGCTGGTCCGGCAGCGAGGAGTCCTAGAACACACCGAGAAGATGGTAGACAAGATGGATCAGGATCTGAAGACAAGCCAGAAACATATCAACAGCATTAAGAGTGTGTTTGGAGGATTTATCAACTACTTCAAATCCAAACCAGTAGAGACTCCACCTGAACAGAATGGCAGCATTGCACCTCAGCCCAGCAACAAGTGAGTGTGTAGCATCTGCAGTCTGAACATGTAAACAGTAGAAACAGGTTCTGTGGAAGAAGCCACGGCAGGCATCCTGGAACTCTGTAGTCACCTGTGAGAAGGGACTTACCTCGGACATGCTCAAAGAGAAGCTACTCCACTTACCCCCAACTGTGTTCATCTGATTGATGAAATCCTACTCCAGTCATTGTGACTCCAGTCTTAGAAAGTTTAATCAATACAAATGTGACTCATTTACAGAATGTTTTCTTACCAAGTTCATCCCAAAAGGCGGACATAGTGGGGCCTGTGTGTAATCTTGTTGTAGGGACTGAGGCAGGAAGATAGCAAGTTCAAAGCAACCGTAGGCAATTTAGCAAAACCTCGTTTTAGAAAAATACTAATAAGCCAGATGTGGGGCTGGAGAGATGGCTCAGAGGTTAAGAGCACTACCTGCTCTTCCAAAGGTCCTGAGTTCAATTCCCAGCAACCACATGGTGGCTCACAGCCATCTGTAATGAGATCTGGTGCCCTCTTCTGGTCTGCAGGCATTCATGCAGACAGAATGCTGAGAATACTGTACACATAATAAATAAATCTTTTTTAAAAAATGCCAGATGTGATGGTGCATACTTGTAATCAAAGCAACTCAGGAAGCTAAGGCAAGAAGGCCTAGATTTTAACACCAGCTATGAGACAGGTCCTTAAATAAATGCTAATGAGGTGGGCTCAGCAGGTAAAGGCCCTTGCCGCCAAGCCTGATGACTCGTGTTCAGTCCCTGGGATCTACATGGTGGAGAGAGAGAACAAACTTCAACAGCTTTTCCTCTGATCTCTACACTTATATATACACAAAAAATAAATAAATGTAGTTCAGTATACCATATATACGTACAACATATACATGTATGGGCTAGGGATGTGGTATATTGGTAGAAGACTTGCATAGCATGTGTGAAGTCCTAGATTCCCTACCACCACCACCACCACAGAAAAAGGATCATAGATATGAGTAATGTAAAAAAAAATCTTCTTATCCGTCTTCTCTGTATCTAATCTATCTATTAATTTCTACTTTAAAATTATAGATTGTTTACCTCAAATTTTTTGGGAGGAAATATAGTGAAGTCATCCTTAAGGACTTGACAGGCTTTGGCACTGCCTGTTCAGAAATAAAAGGCAGGACTTGAGAGATGGCTCAGCAGTGGAGCACTGTGCTTTCACAGAGGACCTGGGTTCAATTGCCATCACCCATGTGGTGGCTCTCAGCCATCCATAAAACAGTCCCAGGGAATTCGATGTCCTCTTTTGACCTCAGAGCACAAACATGGTGTCCAGACGTGCTTGCAGGCAAACACTCATGTATATAAAATCATCTTTAAAAATAAAAGACAAAAGAATTGGGTATTTGTTAAAAACTGATGGCCACTATTCATGCTTCAGGTCATTTTTGTTCTTTGTTGTTTTGTTTTAAAGTGTTTTTGTTTCGGTTTGGTTTGGTTTTAGTTTTGTGCGTGTTGTGGAGAGGGGAATCAGCCATGTGCAGAACACTTGTAGGAATTTATTCTCTTCTTCCTCCATGTGGGTCCTAAAGATTAAACTCATGTTGTTTCATTTAGTGACAAACCTTTACCTGCTGAGCCTTCTCTCACAAGCCTTTGTTTTGTCTTATTTTTTGAGAAATAAGTAACAGGTAACCAAGGCTGCTCTTGAAATCACCATTTAACTGAACATGACCTTGGATTTCCTGATCCTCCTGCTGTCATCTCCCAAATTCTGGGAGGATAGTCTTGCACCTCCACACACAGTTTGAAATACTGTTTTACTAGTAAAGTCTGGATATATAAGGATTGGGGATGTAGCTCCATTAGCAGAGTACTTGCCTAGCATTTGGAAGCCCTGCTAAATCTCCACTTCCAAAGGGCTTCAGAGACAGGCAGTGGGATACCCTATAGTGGGCATTGTTTTCTCACTCCACATGGTCTTCAGCCAGTCTCTGAGCACTTGCAGTTCTCTGACTGGTGGCCGCTTAGTCAGAAGCTTTTGCAATACTGGTGATGCTGGGACATTTGCAGCAAGTGCTTTTGCCAGGTGGCTCTTACCCATGATTGTTTTGAGCTAGTAACTCTCCCCAGAGCTGTACTTCTTCACAGCAGACTTCCTGAGCAGCTTCAGATAATTTGGAAAGCCAGCTCTAGACCTTTGGCAAACTTCTGCCCCTTCTTTTCCAAAGCTGTTCTCACTGTTGGGGTCACTTAGCTCTTGTGGTAGAAGAAGATGCACCACCTGAGGAAGAGTCCCCCATGCCACAGTGATGGTATTGGTCCAGCTCGCTCACTCGCCCCCCTCGCTCTCTCTCTCTCTCTCTCTCTCTCTGCCACTACCTCCCGCAATTTCTTTTGAGGGCTGGGTGAGTTAGAGTCTCATATAGCCCTAGTTGGCCTTAAACTGATAATTTAGCCAAGGCCAGCTTTGAATTCTTTGCCCTTCTACCTCCATCTCTAAGTGCCAAGAATACAAGGATGTGCCACCACTACAAGAAGGAATTACAGATGTCTGTGAGCCACCATGTGGGTGCTGGGAACCGAACTCAGGTCCTCTGCAAGAGAAACAAGTGCAGGCTGGAGAGATGGCTCAGCAGTTAAAAGCACTGACTGGTCTTCCAGAGGACCCAGGTTCAATTTCCAGCATCCACATGGCAGCTTGCAGCTGTCTATAACTACAGTTCCAGGGGCCCTGACACACTAATGCACATATGATAAAAATTTTTAAAAAGACCCTATTTTGTGTATGGATTTTTAATTAAATTTTTTGTTTTGTTTGTTTTGAATTTGTGCCTGTGTGTGTGTCTTGTGTGTGGATACCCACAGAGGTCAGAATAGTGTTAGATCCCATGGAGCTGAAGTTACAGATGGTCGTAAGCTTCCCAATGTGTGTGCTTAGATCTGAACTTGACATCCTCTGGACGAGAAGCAAGTGCTTTTAACTGCTGAGCCATCTCTCTAGCCCTGCCACTCTGGGTTTGTTTATTGTTTTTGTTTTTTGAAGACTTAAATTTCTAAGTTGATTTACCTGTCATTCAGGTCATATTTAAAAGCCATTCTTTGCTTAGGTTAAAAGTGAGTGATAGATTTTTATGTTATTATCATAATAAAAGAAATGTGGGGCCAGGTGAGGTGTAATCTCAGAACTTGGAAGGTGGAGGCAGAAAGATCAGGAGGTTAAGGTGATCTTCAACAGCTACATGTTGAGGTTGAGGCTAGCCTAGACTACACTAAAAAGAGGAAAATAGATCATAGGTCATAATTTGCTGATCCTTCATCAAAGGCACCCACTTGGTCTGTTAATGGACTTTTCATCCACCTGACCCAGGACTTCCTGTCCTGAATAAGGTCTTCCTCAGCCCACTCTGTGGCTCCAGAATGGATAGCAAAGGGAAGCCTTGGATATGTGACACAAAGGTGTGGTGGAAAAGATGGGCGACCCTGCTGTGCACACTCGCACAGAGGTAACATTGTCATGTGTTTTCCTTTCATGTTTTCTTTTCATCTGAAGATTGAAAGAAGCCATAAATACAAGTAGAGAGCAAGAAAGCAAGTACCAAGCCAGCCACCCAAACCTCAGAAGACTGCAAGGTGAAGGTGAGTGAGCACGTGTGTGAGAACTCGGGTGGGTCTCTGTTGGCCCTGGACTCCAGTGTGGGGACAGCTGCCTCCACAGCACCACATGCTGGGTGATGACATCAGGGACACAAGGTGTTCTGCGGATCCAGAGGTATGTGTTATGGTGGGGTTCCCTCCCTTCCTCGCACCCCCATGGAGTTTGGTTAAGGAAGTGGGAACCTGTATCCCACTAGACACGAACCATCTACTGGTGTAGCTCTGAGAAATTCTAGTAGTAAAAAGCCAATTGTAAAGCTAGTTATTACATAACACACCTATAATCTCAGCCCTTGGGAGGTAAAGGTGGGCCAATCAGGATTTGAGTCTAGCCTCAGTTACATGTTGAACTTGAGGCTAGCCTGGGATATATGAAACTCTGCCTCAACAAACAAAACAAGAAGAACCCCCCCCCCAAAAAAAACACCTTATTTGTAGGAACAATCCTTATTGTAAATAAAATGGTCCTTAGAGGTGTTTTCCTCCACCCAGGATTCATGAGTATGTTAAGAGCGAAAGAATATGGTTTTGTATGTAACTAGAGTGGCTAATCAGATGGCCTCTTAAAATAAGAGAATTTATTCTGGGGTGTCATGTTGGGTCCATTTTCAGCATGTGGGTCTTTCACAGTTGGAAAATAAGCCTGGTATAGTGGCTTATGCTTGTAGTCCCAGCACTCAGGAAGTGAAGGAAGGGATATTGTGAGTTTGAGTTTGGGGTCATTCTAGATTATATAGCCAGACTCTCAGAAAACCAAAAACAACAAATGATGATGCCAGGTGCTTTAGTCAGAGTTCTCTAGAGGAACAAGACCAGAGGGATGAGAGTACTTGTGTGCACGTGTGTCAGAATTTAATGAATCACTTCAACATAGTAACAACAGCAGAATCACACCTGAGAGCTGAGACACTCAGTCCTTGAAGCTGACACCTTCAGCAGTGGGAGGAGTCCCACCACAGACATCTCTTACTGGGAGTGGCCCACCAGTGCTTACTCCGTCAGTAATCCCAATCTAGTGACCGAAGCCTGGAAGAGTCCTGCAGAACCTCTGGTCCCACATCTAAAACAAAAGCTTGGAAAAACTGGGTCTACTCTCAGGGAGGGTTCAATAGCCCAGCAACAGAGCAGATCAACTTTATCTGGGCTCCTAGCGGGTACCCCCAGAGTCTGCCCACGTCAGTCAAGGTGGTCAGAACAGGTCTTCAGGTGAGGCTCCCTACGCAGGTGATTCTAATTTGTGGCAAGATGACATTAAAACCAGCCAACTAACCAACCAGGTATATTAGTAGACGTGAGAGATGGAGGCCTGAGGATCAGGTGCTCAAGGCTGTCTTTGATTACCTAGAAAGTTCAAGGCCAGCTTGAGATACAGGAGACCATCTCAGACAAGACAAGGCTAAAAATAAAATTTAAAAATAAGGAGAGGGACTAGAGAGATGGCTCATTGGAAAAGAGAGCTTGCTGTGAAAGCCAGAGGACCAGGGTTCAAATCACCAGCCCTCATTTAAATGCCACTCTGTTTGTATCTGTAATCCCAGCATTACAGGGCAGAGACAGGTGGATCCTAGCGGCTGGCTAGCTTGTCTAGCCAAGATGATGAGCTTCAGGCTTTATGAGAGACTCTGGCTTAGAAACAAAAGCAGATGTTGTAGTGAACGTTTCTGTTGCTGTGATGGAACACCAAGACGAGGAAGGCAACTTAGAAAGAGAGCTTTTGGTTGGGCTTATGATTCTAGAGGTTAGAGTTCATAATGGCAGCAGGAGCAGTTGAGAGCCCACATTTTGAACACAAACAGAAAGCAGAGAGCACTGGGGATGGTAGGAAGCTTTTGAAGCCTCACAACCCGCCCTACTTAGCACACCTCCTCCAAAAGGCCACACCTACTAATCCTCCTCAAACAGGTCCATCAAGTAGAAACCAAGTATTCAAACATGAACCTATGGAGGCCATTTTCATTCAAACCACTACCGTGGAGAACAGGAGAGGAGACTGTTCTCTGGCTTCCACAGGACTCTGCATGGGCACTTGCACACATAAGTGTGCATATATACCACACATGCAAAAATAAAAATAAAGGAGAGAAGCTGCTTTTGGCCAATGGCTTAAGGGGAAATAGCCAGGCCAAAAGCAGCTTCTTTATTCATTAACCAATAAAAGCAACACATATATAGAAAGATTTCCCACACCAGGCTTCCTCTATGAAGGTATCTCTTTCCTTGCTCTCCCTCTCTGTGGTTTTTGGTTTTTTTGAGACAGGGGTTCTCTGTAGCCCTGGCTGCCATGCAACTTACTGTGTAGATCTGGCTGATTTAGAGATCTGCCTGCCTCTGCCTCCCAAGAGCTGGGATTAAAGATGTGTACCACCATGGCCCAGCTAGTTGGATTTTTTTAAAGCATATTCATTTTTGCTCACCTGCTCGGAGGCAGGCAATAAATAAATAGTCAATCTTAAGCTTAATTTTGTAACCTAACTCCATTTCCTTTTGTCTCTTTGAGATCATCTTACTATAGAGCTCTGGCTGGCTTTGAATTCATGATTTTGCTGCCTCAGCCTCCCAAATGTTGGAGTTTCGGCTGCAAACCACCACTCCAAGTAACAGTTTGATCTTTGCTTTGTTTCGTGTCTTGTATGGTTTGATGGTTTTACTGTGTTTCTTTTGAGACTGAGTCTCATTTAGTCCAGTCTGGCCTCTAATTCATTAATATTCTGACCATCTTGCTCCATGTGCTAGATTACAGGCATGCACAAATAGTTTAACAACTTTTGATTTTAAACCATCTGTGCCAGCTCTGCCAGATGTAGTAGCATGCACCTGTAGTCCCGGCTATTACAGAAATAGCTTGAGCACAAGAGTTTCAGGTCAGCTTGTGCAACATAGTGAGGCCCTGTCTCAAAAGCACACATAACTAAGCTCACATACAAGCTCACAAAATTAAGAGGTAGACGGGTTCATGGAATACCTCTGCTGTAGAGTGCTTGCCTAGCATGCACAGGGCCCTGGTTCCAATCCTCAGCTTAAAGAAACAAAACAATCTGTGTCCCAGAGCTTGCCTGTGAGCTTGTAGCTCTGCATTGACAGTTCCCTGTTGTATTGTTACATACATGCGTTTTTCCATATCTCACCTGGTGACTTGTAAGTTGAGAGTCATCAATCTGCTAATGTTGGGGGACAGGCTGGAGCGCAGACTTGACTTCTCCAGCCTGTAACCCTGTCCCATTCCCCCTCCTGTCTCTCTGCATGGCCTCAAAGCCAGCCACCTCCTTCCTCCCACCCTTTTCATTCTTTCCTGGTATGAGTGATCCCTGGGGACAGATTCCTAGGACTTCGGAAAAGAATGGGCCAATTTCACAGAAGAGCAACCTTCAGTGAACTCTCCCTCTGGTGTTTCTTTCTGGACTAGACCCCATCTCCAAAGAGCCCGCTTCTGCTGTGACTACTGATGTTTACCCAAAGAACTCGAGCCTTCGTGCCTATCACCAGAAGATCGACAGCAACCTAGGTAAGTCTGGGAACTACACAGCCTCCAGACAGCTTATGCTGGGCACAGCCTGGGCACCCAGCCACATCCTTGCTTCCTCCCCATGTCACAGCCCACACAGTGTCCATCTTACTGCCCCACTCTCTCGGGAACCTGTCCACTTCTCTCCATTTCCTGCTGTCTGTCAACCAAGTCATCCTCACCACTTAGTTGACTCCTGACCAGACCCAGGCATCTCTGGGGCTTATATCCTGTATCTAGGATAAAGCCGCATGGCTTACGTGGGTGCAAAGCATCTGAACTCAGATCTTTTTTTTTTTCTTTAAATATTTATTTATTATGTATACAATATTCTGTCCGTGTGTATGCCTGCAGGCCAGAAGAGGGCACCAGATCTCATTACAGATGGTTGTGAGCCACCATGTGGTTGCCGGGAATTGAACTCAGGACCTTTGGAAGAGCAGGCAATGCTCTTAACCACTGAGCCATCTCTCCAGCCCCCCTGAACTCAGATCTTCATGCTTGTTCAGCAAGTGCTCACACCAGAGGCATGTCCCACAACCTACCAGGCTGTTTTAGCTCAGCCTTTTTTTTCCTGTCCTTACTGTCCTCAAACTCAAGAAGCTTCATGAGACCTGGGTGAATACCCATTAAACTTTTACTTTCCAGGAAACATAAGGTCACAAACCCCTGTAATCCCAGCAATTGTGGCTACAATAGGATTGCAAATCCTGGGCCAGCCTGGAAAATGAGTGAGATCCTGTCTCGAAATGAAAAATATAAGGAAACTGAGGGTGTGACTCAGTATCAGAATGCTTCCCAGCACATGCAAGGCCCTAGGTTTTCTTCTCCAGCACTATGGAGGAAGATGCTGTTTTGTAGTAATAAGGGCGGCGGGGCTGCGTCCCCAGCACCCCAGCCGCCCGCACGGCTAGCTTATGCCCCGAAATAACAACACACAAACTATTCATTTAAACACTGCTTGGCCCATTCTCTTCTAGGCTAATTCTCACATATTAATTTAGCCCATTTCTAATCATCTGTGTGTAGCACCCCAAGGTGCGCTTACAGGAGAGATTCTAGCCTATGTCCATCCTGGGTCGGAGCTTCATCCCGGGAGCAGGGCATGGCGTCTCTCTCAGGCGTCTGCTCCCGAGAGGAGAGCTGTCGAGACTGAGCTCACTTCCTCTTCCTCCCAGCGTTCTGTTCTGTTTACTCCTTCCACCTATCCTCTAACCAATAAAATGGGCCAAGGCAGTTCCTTTATTAGCCAATGACCTTCCTCCATCAGCTGTTTGTGGTAGTGGCCCTATGATCTTTTCAGGCAGCAGAAGCAGGGAGGTCACTGTGACTTCAAGGCCAGTTTGGATTGATAGTGAGTTTCAGACCACCCAGAGCTGTCTATCAAGACTATGCTAAAACACACACATATAAACAACATACTAACTGTGGTTGTCTGGGGAGAGGAGAGAGGTAGTGGCTTCTACTTAGGTTAACCACATAGTACTCTGTAGTAAGAATATTTCTCTTCATGTCTGTGTTTTGAGACATTTGCTACAAGCTGTGATAGTCTCTTAGACAGGACTCTGGAGTCCAGATGAGCATCCAGAGGGGCAGGAAGCACCTGGAGATACTGTGACTGCCTGTCACTTCCTTTTCACAGATGAGCTGTCCATGGGACTGGGCCGACTCAAGAACATAGCCTTAGGAATGCAGACGGAAATTGAGGAGCAGGACGACATTCTTGACCGGCTTACAACCAAAGTGGACAAGTTAGATATCAATATAAAAAGCACAGAAAAAAAAGTTCGGCAACTCTAAAGAAACTGAAAAAGGAATTCTACTCAGTTGTGATGAAAAGATTCAAAAGCCTCTTTTAAACTCCTAAGGAATGTTGTTGATTACATGGTATGTAATTTAACATGTGTGTTCAAATGTGGGTCTTAAGAAATTTTAGTTTCCATGGAAAAATATGTGTGTTCCACATTTTGGTAAGATCAACACCTCTGAAGTTCTGTGAGCTGTCTGCTGAGTTGTAGTATTAACACGGCAGACTAATTGTGAACTTGAGCCTTGGACTGCTGTGCTAGGAGGGGAAGAAACCTGCATTTCTCCTTTCATGAGTATTTGCACAGATGTGGGTAGAATGTCAGCCTCAGAATGGCTGCCTTCTGTTTACTCATTTGCTGTGTTTCTCACTCCAAGGCCTTAATGTGAATTCAGATGTGAAGGAACCCTTGGGCTTGTGGCAGGAGGAAGGGTCCTTCCACACCTCTACATGTCAGTCATTGTGGACATGCCTGCACACACACTGAGCACACTGTAGCTCTCTCTCCCTGAAAACGACCCATGTTAGATCCAGAAATGGCCTCTGTTCTTGTCCTGTATTTCAGTAGAAGGATTCAGACAGAACGGCTGGACTTGACACCTGCAAGTGTAGATACTGGATAAGCCCTTCTTCCCCACCTACTTTCCATCTCCACGACTCAAGGCCATCCAGGTAGTTGATGGGGAAGGAACCCAGGTGGAGTTGGTGGGCCTGAGTATCACACAAACAAAAACCTTTCCACTGAGCCCTCTGCCTATGGGAATAATACCAAGGCAGTGTTTATGTGGTGCCTGACGTCTCCTTATCCACCTGGGACCTCCACCCAGTCTCTGTGTTTCTACAAAGTACCCACCTAGTTTGAGGGCTTAGACCCACAAATGATACTAACCTTCTGTAAGACGACTTGACCAAGAAAAAGCCCGGGTACAATTTTAGCAGCTAGGCATGTTGATTCCCTTCATCTTTCAAATGAAAATATTTAGAAGCATTAATTAAAATTGATTTCTAGAACAATTTTTCCTTGTTTTGGTACTTCCAATAAAATCACTGAAGTCATAGAGTACTTGACTATCTTAAAATCAAATTCACATATTTTGAAGATGGTAAATGGGTCTTTTTTTAATAGTAAGGTAAAAAACTAAAATGCCAGTACCTTTTTGCCTTAAAAGATGGCTTGTGTACCATGTTGGGACCCTTCCTTTAACATCTGGAGTCTACAGTATCATAAGCAAAGCAAACATCCGGGCTGTGGGGGTGGCCCAGTGGTTAAGTACTTGCTCTCCTCTCTCAGGGCCCTGGATTGATCTCTACCACTGGGTCGAGAAACTGAAAATGGCAACAACATGATTACTGATCATGTAGCGACTTGTACACACTCCTGTCACAAAATACCCAACCTTTCTGACAATACGGAGTCAGAGAGACACCATGTAGCTGCCAGAGACAGACGCTGGAACATTACCGAGTAAGCCGCAGCCTCGTGGCAATACACAGATTAATGGAGATGGCTTAATTTAAGATATGAGGTAGCCAGAAATATGCTAAAGTCATTGGCCAAGCAGTGTTTTAAGTAATATAGTTTCTGTGTGATTATTTCGGGTCTGAACTGCTGGGCGGCTGGGAAACAAACAAACGGCCTCTTGCCACAGACAAAAAGGAGTGCCAATGTCCATCTGTCTCTAGATCTGAAGATATGATTGTGGTGGACCTTTGTGAGCTCAAGGCCAGCCAGGACTATATACCAAGACCCTGTCTCAAGCAATATAAAGAGACCAATTCATATATATATTTCTACTTGTGATTGTTTTCAGCTTTTCTGTTTTTGTTTTTTATTTTTCTAAGACAGGGTTTCTCTGTAGTTTTTGGACTCTGTCCTGGAACTCATTCTTGTAGACCAGGCTGGCCTTGAACTCACAGAGATCTGCCTGCATCTGCCTTCCATGTGCTGGGATGGGATTAAAGGCTGTGACACCACCGCCTGGCTGTTTTCAGTTTTTCTATAAAACCTTCCATGTGTCATAACTATCGCTTTTTATCCGCATCAGCCATAGCCTTGTGGAGTTAATCACCTGAGAGCACCTTCCCTTAGCAGCCGAGTGTCCATAGTTAGTGGACTTGAGGCAAAGGAGCATTTGATGCTCCTTCCTTCGTTTTGTTAAATTAATGATTTCAATCTGTCTCCTTTCCCAATCTTTTTAACTCCATGAGTGTGAAACCTGTCTTCCTTCTAATGTTTAGCATCTAAACCACTAGAGGGCCTCGAGCATTTTGTTCTGTTCTTCAGACTCATGCTGTGGTCTGCTGAAATTGTCCCTTGGCCAGCTGGAGACTGCTGGTACCATTAAAGGACCTAAGGAAGGTCCAGAGTCCTTATCACATGATAATTGTGACCAGATCTGCTGGCTGACAGGTGGAATCACAGCACTTAGGAGGCAGGAGGGTTGCCGTGAGTTTGAGGTTCAGGATGAGATCTTTTCTCAACAGAATTCATGGCTGTGGTGGGGAGAGGAAGGACTCGTCCGTGCACGCTGGCCTAGGAAGTTAGTGGCAGTGGAGTGAAATGGGCTTCCAATGTCACAGAGCAGGCCAGTGAACATATCCTTGACATGTGAGGTCTGCAAGACAGACTGACACAAACTGTCTTCAGAAAGGTGACGTTTGTAACTTTAGGTCAGCTATATGCTAAGCGTGCTACTAAAATAAGTGCATTCTCCTTCCTTCTATCACGTACTGACCTGGAACCTAGACACACTAGAGTGACCTCATGAATTGTTTCTCCTCATTCTGTAGGAGAGGCCCGAAGTTCATTCATGTAATAACTAAAAAAAGATAGTGATGCGTTTTCTCTTTCTCCTTATAAATGAATGTGTGATTTTAAGTGTATAATGTATCATTTAGTAAACATTTTCTAATTTGCCTGAATAAGCCTTTTTCTTCAGGTGTATGTGAGTGTGTGTGTGTGTGTGTGTGTGTGAGAGAGAGAGAGAGAGAGAGAGAGAGAGAGAGAGAGAGAGGTGTCAGGTGACCCTCAGGTGGTGTTATTTAAGCGCTGTCCCATCTTGTCTCTCACTGGCCTGAAATTCAACAGCAAACAAAAACAAAAAGCCACCTTTTTCTTTTTCCTTGTGCTGGGATTTCAAGCACATGCCACCATAGTCAGCTTTCTTGTAATGGTCCATGAGATTCAGGGATGAGATAGTTTGGGTCACCAGGCTTGCTTTGCAAAGACTTTACCAAAAGAGCTATCCATCTCCCAACCCTGTGTACAAGGTTTTGGTTTGGTTTTTGTTTGTTTGGGGGGTTTTGTTTTTATTTTTTTAGATAAGGTTTCTCTATGTAGCTCTGGCTGTCCTGGAACTAACTATGTAGACCAGGCTGGCCTCGAACTCACAGAGATCCACCTGCCTCTGCTTCTTGAGTGCTGGGATTAAAGGTGTACACCACCATGCCCAGGTGTACGGAATATTTTCTTAAGGTTTTAGTTTTTGTTGTTTGTTTGGAGGGGGGGATGTCTGAGTCTGTGTGTGAGAGAGAGAGAGAGAGAGAGAGAGAGAGAGAGAGAGAGAGATGAGTCAGAAGACAACTAAGGATTTTGTTCTCTCCTTTCATCATGCGTTCCAGGGATCAGACTTTTAGGCAAAAACTTTACATCGTGGGCCATTTTGCTGGCCATTCCGTAGGGGTTTAAAGTCTACTAATGTTGTAAGGCATTGTTAACTCCAGCGAATGAATTATGTGCAAAGTGGTAAACTACCAGGGAGCATGATAGCACATTCCTGTAATGCCAACATGTGAGGTGAGTGGAGGCAGGAAGATGAGGATTCAAGATCCCTCTCAGCTACCAGCAAGTTCGAGGCCAAACAGAGCTCCATGAGATCAAGTCTCAGAAAAAGGAAGAGAGCAGTGGAGCCACCACTGAAGGTTCTCATTGGGCAGGAACTGAGCAGTGTCTTTGTTCATCAGATCAGCTGTCCTCCCTTCAGCTTAGGAAATGAGCATCTTCCCTGAACAAGAAGTTGATTTTCAATCAGAACCTACGTCCTGTGTATTAGTGTCAAGTCATGGGTGCAGGGAACCCTCCGTAAATTTTAGTGTTTGGTCCTTGAGGAAGCCTCAGAGTTGAAGAGAGCGAAGTGGTAAGCCATGTATTTAGCACATAGAATACCGTGGGTTCGGTTCCCAGCATCACTACAATCAAACAGATAAAAGTGAGCCAGAAGCCTAAGGTCATCAGGAGCTTCTCCAGCCTGTTAGTTATCTCACCCCCTCTGCATTAAGACCAAAACCCAGAAAGCAGTTGATTTTGGGGGCTGGAGAGATGATGCAGTCATTAAGAGAATGGCTGCTCTTTCAGGGACTCAGGTTCAACTCCCAGCACCATGTGATAGTTTACAATCATCCATGATTCCAGTTTGAGGATCCAACACTCTCTTCTGGCCTCCACAGGCACCAGACAGACATTTCGTACGCAGACATACATCCAGGCAAAACATACACATAAAATCCTTTTTTAAAAAAACCTGAATTTGTACCCAGGCATGGTGGTGCACACCTTTAGTCCCAGCACTCAGGAGGCAGGAGGGTGTCTGTGAGTTTGAGGCCAGCCTGGTCTACAAAGTGAGTTCCAGGACAGCCAGGACTACACAGAGAAGCCCTGTCTGAAAAACGAAACAAAACAAAAAACCCTAAATGTAGCATGAATTCTAATTGGTATTATAATAGTAAAACCTTGAGTCAGCTATTGGGTAAATGCTGAAGATCAGAGAAGCAGAGCAGCCAGCCACAGGAGAATTCTTACCTCTACCAATGCTCAGACCAAAGGCCCAATCCTGTCCTCAGACTGCATCTCCAGACTGCATCTGAGCTCTTGGCTCCTCCTGCCTTATATTCTTCTTTCTGCCCAGCCGCATCCCTTCCTGTCTCCACCTCCCTAGTGCTGGGATTAAAGGCGTGGTGTAAACTACCACTGCTTGGCTGCTAGTGGTTTAGCTCTGCACTCTAACCTTCAGGCAAGCTTTAGCTGTTAAAGTACAAACAAAATATCACTACGCCTGAATTTGGTTTTTTTACCCCAGGCTGTCTGTCTCAGTAAATGCTGCCACCTCACCAGCTCAAGGTGAAGTTTCTAGAGTTACCAGTTACTAAACACTGCAGACAAGGTGATTTATAGAGCTCATGGTTCTGGGGTGGGGGAAGGGGGGGTCTAAATTTGAAGGGGTCACACCATCATGGCCTTTAAAAAAGAAAAAAACTGGTGCTGGAGAAATGGCTCAGAGGTTAAGAGTACTGGCTACTCTTCCAGAGGTCCTGAGTTCAAATCTCAGCAACCACATGGTGGCTCACTACAGATCTGGCTAGCATGCATGCCAGCAAAGCACTATATACATAGTAAATAAATAAATAAGTCCTTTAAAAAAAACTGTGTGTGTGCGTGTGTGTGTGTGTGTGTGTGTGTGTGTGTGTGTTCTTGTGCCCAGCACACGTGGAGGGATGGAGGGGTAACAACTTTCAGGAGTTGGTTCTCTCCTTCAGGTGGGGTCCCAGAGATCAAACTCAGGTGGTCAGGCTTGGAGGCAGGTGCCTTTACCCACTGAGCCTTCTGACTTTGAGACAGCAAACTCCATTAAATGACAGAGGATTGTATTTGAAGCCCATAGGCCAAATATCTCCATGGCACAGTGCCACTCTAATAGTAGGACAAAAACAGCCCCCCAAAATACACAAACGAGAGTCCCTGTGCTCCAGTCGTATTACAGCTCTGCAGCCCCCAAAATACACAAATGAGAGTCCCTGTGCTCCAGTCATGTTACAGCTCTGCAGCCCCCAAATACACAAATGAGAGTTCCTGTGCTCCAGTCATGTTACAGCTCTGCAGCCCCCCAAAATACACAAATTGATGGAGGAAGGTCATTGGCTAATAAAGAAACTGCCTTGGCCCATTTTATAGGTTAGAACATAGGTGGGTGGAGTAAACAGAACAGAATGCTGGGAGGAAGAGGAAATGAGCTCAGACTCGATACCTCTCCTCTCTGGGGCAGACGCGATGAAGCTCCAACCCAT